GATTTTTGGACGATTACTATAACTTACCCTACGGGAAGTTAAAAATCTTTAATACAGTGTTTACATTTTTTGGTATTTACAGGATTATGAAAAAAATTTAGTGATTTTATACATGCTACTTGAGGACATTTTTCTAGATTTTTGTCTATAGTTCGAAATTTTGTTCTGGAGTTTTTATTTTATTTACATTGTTAAAATCTAAATGAAATGTATTAAAATTTAATATAAACACTTGTATATACTTTAGTGTCAAAATTTTGAATAAAGCCTAACTATTGATAGATTTTTATAGCGAGCTATATATAAACTTAAAACATTTTTTTGGTATTCTTCATATAACTCGAAAACTTATTTGGGATATTTTATTACTTACAAATATGAAAACTAGATAAAATTTACTTTTATTTAGTATAATTTATTTAATATTCCTTGATATAAATTTTAAAATATTCGTCATAATTAATAATTAGAAAATTAGCTATTTAGGACATTTTTTTAGATTTTTATCTATAGTTCAGAAATTTTATTCTAGAGTGTAAATTTATTTACCTAGATAAAATTTACTAAAGTTTAGTAAAAACTTTTGTATATACGTCTATAATATTTTTTCTAATAAACTAGTTGTGACGCGTAAGTATATAATTTTTAAGTCAATATTTTTTTTAGATTTTTTTTATATAATTCGATAAATTTGTTCCAGACACTTAGCTTTATTTATATTAGTAAAAAACTAGATATAATTTACTAAAATATAGTATAAATTGTTATATATACTTGGATATTAAAATATTGCATAAAAGTTCAAAGTTACGCAGATTAATTATTTAGCTAATTTAGAGTCAGTCATGTATGATTTTAGGACATTTTTTTGACATTTGCTCATATAATTTGATAATTTTGTTCCAGACACTAATATTTATTTATATTAGTGAAAAACTAGTTAAAATTTACTTTAATATAGTAAAAATCTTTATATACACTTGGATATTAAAATTTGAATAAAATTTAATAGAAAGGCACAGCTTTCTAGTAAACGCTAAAAGGTAAATGGATATATATATATAGGACATTTTTTACATTTCTTCATATAATTTTGATAAAATATTCTAAATAATTTACTTCATTTTCATTCAGAAAACCTAGATAAAATTTACTATTATATAATATGAATTGTTATATATACTTGTATATTAAATATTTAAAAAAATTAGACGAATATAAAATCGTTGAGACATTAAACGTAAATAGAAGTTAAGATAAATATAAAATATTTGTAATAAACTATAAATGTATTTATTCTTTTGGATGGTATTTTTTTAAGATAAATCTTTATATATATATATATATATATATATATACATACATAAATGTTAACACTTTCCCTTCATATGTTTTTTGAGGTTTCATAAAAGTTAACAGATCAGAAAAATTCGTGAAGTGTAAAAAAATGATGGACAGTTAAATAAATGTATTTTGAACAGGTTTTTTGGATTATACTAAACATCTTTGAAGGATTTGAGATTATATATATATATATACATATATATAATATATATATATATTATATACGTATATATATATATATATTATATATATATATATATATATATATCTATATATATATATATGTGTGTATAAATTTATGTGTAGCACGCAACATATATATCTGATATCTTTTTCTAAGAATCCTTGTACGTGGAATAATAAACTTCATCCTTTGTAATTTTTTGATTTATTATGTGATATCAGATAATGTATTGTAACACTTCACATTCTATATATATATATATATATATATATATATATATATAATAATAGAATAATCCTTTTCTTAATTAAACATCATCACTCCACCCATCAGAATCTTTTACTAAAGAAAACTTTTGGCATTACATTATACTAAGTTTTTAAATTTGATCCGATAATTTTCAACTCGGAGTGCCATCTAGTTTTTGCAACATCAAAACTTTTTCTACTTCCTCGTATTTCCGGAGGATACACTTCCTCTTCCGGAAAATCTTTGAGGAAGTCGAAGGAAAAATTCAGAGGAGCAACTTAGAGTATCATTTTAGTGGAGAGAAAATGAATTTTTAAATATAAATATTAACTGGGTGTGAGTGGCATCTATATACATATATATATATATATATATATATATATATACATTATTTCTCAATATGCAAATTATTATTTCCCAGTATCGTTTTCCCTTCTTTTGTTTCAAAGGTGATCAGTTTTTATTACAAGGCGACAAGTAATTTTATAACTTGAAAAAGTTCAAAGAAAAATTTAATAGTTTTCCAGTATGCAGAAAAGTTTGCAGAATTCTCGTCGTCGTCGTCTTTGAAATGTAATTTGCTTCTGCAAATAAAGTTTATAATTTCTGGAGGCGGAATATAGAAAAATAATTTATAAAAAAATTAGTAAATAATATATAGTTCGATATGTAGGTAATTATTTTATATGTTGATAAGTGTAATTGAAAACAGCTGCAGATATTTATTTTGATTTGAATATAAACTAGTTGGTATTGGTATTTTGCCTTGAGGCAAGTTATATGAACTTTCATATATGTGTAAATAATCGACTTAGTCAATAAAAAATAAATTAATTTATGAGTGATTAAAAGTATTCCGAGTGGATTTATTACACATAATTGAAAACGAACGAACACGTTAACTCAGAGTATTTTCTAAAAGCAAATTTTCAAAAATCAATATTTTTTATAATTGAACCAGTTTCCGTAGGACTTTATTAGTTTAGTATGTTCATTAAGACCAAGTACTATATCGTTATATCAAGTAAATCATCTAATTTTAATTTTAACAAAGGTCAAAAAAACTACTCATTTTCTCAAACTTCGATGAATTTTTGTAGTTAAACTACTTGTCGTAAGGCCGTAATATTTCAGTAAGTTCTATAAGACCATGATATATTTATCCAAAAAAAGTTCCATAAAAATCGGCTTAATTTTTTTTCAACAGTTAATTACAAGAAATCGGCTCGGTAAATGTTCACCTAAAACTAATCAGTATCACTCCCAACTACAGTTTTTATTTTTTAAAATCGATTCGGTAGTATGAGCTTAAATGTGGACGAAAAGTTTAACACTTTTTTCCAAATTACAAAGACACGGCTCGACCGATCGTCGCACAAAACCCAGAAATGCCAGTCCTCATCGAAATACATCGAATGGCTTTTAAATTTTTGAAATCGGTCCAGCCGTTTTTGAGAAAACGTCAATTTACGGCAAAAAATCTGTTCACACACACACACACACATACTTTTTCCAAATTTTGTCTCATTCGATTCAGAATGACTTGAAACGTTGAGAAAATATAAAATTAGCGAATCGGATTTTTGATGAAAACAAACTTCTCTTTCGGGTAGTTAATAATTAGATTTTTTTTTTTAATTTAATATTTTATTATATATATATATATATATATATATGTATATATATACTCATAAAAGTACTTTGTTCATATATTTTCTAAAATAATTACATTTTATTTAAAAAATATCTGATTATTATATTTTCCCAAGATTTCGCGCGCGTTTGCACGTTAACCTAAAACAAAGCGTCGTTTCAGGTTGCGTGCAACTTTAGGGAAAAAAAGTCCGCCTAAAATTTAAAAAAAATATAACAATTTTTTTCATCATGTATTTTATAAAAAAAATGAACTTTTGTTATCACTGCTATCATTACAAAGACAATATCCAAACTCAATTTTTCTCTCAAGGAAATTAGTACAAAGATGAGTTTCACATTCCATCCCCTTTCGGAAAAGTTTGTCACTTAGGAAGTTGTTAGCAATGAGAGTTCGTCATCATATGATATACAGAATACTATACTAATTTGTATATATATATATATATATATATATATATATACATGTATTTGTATATGTAAATTATGTGTTTCCTTCAGTTTTATGGTGTCATTTATGTTTGTTAAGTCAAGTGATACTCTAAAGACATTTGTCATGTTATAATATACAAAATTACTCAAGTTATATGTTACATATAAAATTCTTCTGTACGGGTGTATGATTTGATATTTCTCCTAAACGGTCATTCGGATTTTGATAATTCTTTTTACAGTTTGTCAAAGGAAATTTTTAAAAATTTAATGAACGATAAAACAATAGTAATATTGTAGAAATAAATGGCAAAAATTGCAAAAAAACCCTTATTATTGTTTGACATGAAAACATTTGAACTGAAGAAATGTCAATTTACTTGAAATTTCAATTTAGCTGAAATTACGAGCCTACTAGATAATATTAGAATATAATACAAGATAAATGTACTTACAAATTAAAGTTAAATTTTCAATTAACACTAAGATTAACTGATTGTAAGTACTATTTACTATTTTATTTTTTTCTTTACACTCCAATTCAAATGTTTTAGTTTATAATTTTATTTTTAGTTTGCACTGAATGAAGGCTAAGATTATAGCCGAAACGTATGGATTTAAAATAAATTTTTGAAAGAAATTCATGTTTTTTATTGTTGTTATGCCCGATTATTAGACTTTGTTAATATATATATATATATATATATATATATATATTTGTGTGTATCTTTTATTCCTCCAGACAATATAAATCCACAACTCTGATAATTAATCTTGATCAAAAACTCGGTTTTATTCGCATCTTTCGACTTTACATCGACTTTATTATCATCAATTGTATTTCCTGAAACATATTTCCTTTCAAGAAATGGACACTGGGAAGAAAATAAAAAATATTTCTTATTTTCATCCTCTTCTTGAGATAATCTCTTGAAGGAGATGATTGATGGAAAAAGATGAAGGACATAACTTGTCGATTTGGAAAAGGAAGGATAATATTTCCTGAGGGAGCTTTTGGGTGTAAAATATTTTTGTAGGTTTTTCTGGATGCACAATTGTTTATACAGTGTTTTTATAGTTATATATATATATATATATATATATATATAAACATAAATAGACAAAGAAAATCACTAACCTTGAGTACGAAAATTTCCCCAGTCGTCCTGTTAATATCGAATTTGCTGTTGGCAGGATTGTCAGGATCAATACCTTGTCCTGTCAGGAAATAAACAATATTTTGTGGCCTATCCTTGTCACCATCAGTGGCTGTCACCTGAGAAAATAAAATTAAAAAAATGTAAAGTTTGTAATAAATATAAAATTAAAACTAACTTCAAAAATTCACAAATTAAAAACAATTATGCACAAACACTACTAATTACTAGGAGAATTTTACAAATAAATTGTTTAATAATTTTGAAAAACTCAACAAAAAATAGTAATAATAATTTGCAATATTTCTTTATAATAAAAATTATAAATGTTACCACAACACATAAGGCAAAAAATTTTTTTATAAATTATTTTATACAAATTACTTATTTAACAATTAAGTTTTTGAATTAGTATACTTTTTTGTAACAATTTCTCACAAAAATCATGCACATTATTTTTAAATATTTGAGAATTTCAAAACACATAGTTTTTTAAGAAAAATTTGTTAAATTAACATGATGAAAATATATAATTAATTTCTAGAATTTCATTGCACCTATCACATAATGACTGTTTTTAATACGGAAAAAATAAAATTATTGTAATTTATTATATGTTTACTTTTATAATATTTCTAATTTAATTTTGCATTAGCTTTTTCACGTGGTTGACCTACAAAATTCTTCAAAAATTAAACTTTTCGTTCATAATGAGATATATTAATTATCTTCTATTTTTGGGAGTTACTTTAAATAATATTTTAATTAACATTTGAACTAAGTAACCCAACTAATACCTATTCTAGAGAGCTCGATATCAAGCAGTATGATACCAAATTAATTAATTTTATAGGATTTTTTTTCTAATTTTTATTTTTGTTTTTCACAATAAAATATTTTTTATTCTCGAACGCTCAATAGTATTTTTAAAATATATTCAAACTATAAACAAGAAATTTTCTCTAATATTTTTTTTTTATTTTTATTTATTCTCTTTCCCTAATTTAAAATATAATTTAACTAAAAATCTAAAGTGATCAAAGTTTTTATTAACAATTTTCACATAAAAAATTTGAAAAATTACAGTGAGCGTGTTAAACCAACAAATTGTTCTTAGTACATTTTTTCATCTTTAAATTATTTATATAGTTATTTTGTAATATTAGGTTGTCAAATATCTCCCTTCCGCTTTTTTGCTCTTGGTTTATAATACAAAAAGGCGGAAGGGAGATATTTGACAACCTAATATTTTGAGAAGTTTATACTGCAGACAGCTTAATATCAAGCAGTAGAATATCAAAATTCACTCGAGGTCTTTGATATCAAATAAAAGCTTAAGTTTAAATTGCCTTCTTTGAGCATATATTCATTATACATATAATCATTATATATAGAGTGGTCGACCAGTGGGTTGCCTTCTTGAAAAAAAATTCGTAGTTGTAATAGCTGTTCAAAATATTATATTTTTTACTAGCAATGTGCTGTGTGAAAAAATCAATTTTAATGAGCTCTAAGTGCTCGAGTATATCCAACAAAAAATTTTCTCTAATTTTTATTATTTCATAAGATATTTCCTTTATCCTCGTTTGTGTTTCACAAAATTAGAATTCATATTTGCACCAACATAGCATATGTATCCAGCTAGAGCTAGGATTATAGCACAGGCGGACTCGAACAATATACGAAATGCGAAAAGCTAATATTTGCAAGAGCTAACTTTTTGCCGGTGCGGTTTTACAGCTTCATATAGTTTAGTCCGAGAAAAACAGAAGGGTAAAAAAAAGTAGGAATAAAATCGGATGATGTACGAGGAGGATTTTTGGATTTGCTAAAACTTTAACCAGAGGACATAAAATCCTTTTCACCCGATGGAAATATTATATTTTACCAGGCCCTAGCCCATTTATTTTCGATAGATTGATCATTGATTTATTCAGATGTAACGACAGATAAATTGTGAAACACAAAAACACGAAATGCATAAATTAAAACACAATATTTATTAATTCGTTATCGGACTTTGTATGGAATATATATGGCGAGCGTGAAAATGGAATTTATGCGGTTTGTTTGTGAAATATTATTTAGAGACGAAAACTTATTGCAATGCCTACATCATACGTCAATGTAAATAATATATAGATATATGTGCAAAATTTTGAAAAAAATTAGATTTATTTACACATTTTTGCATTACAAACTTAAACAGATATACCAAGCATTTTTTTGTACTACAATTTTTGAAGCTTTTAATTAGTATACCGAGTTGATATAGAGCGTTGTGATATTAGTAAATATTATCAACAATTTAATTTGAACAAATTTGCCAAATACACTATATATATTTCATGAATGGTTTAAACGTTACAAATTATTTAGTGAATGGTGCATTTACACCATAATAATGTACTTGTCTATAGCGTCTAAAATAACCTGCATTTTCAAAAATCATTTATGAGTGTACGGAGTTTATGTAAAGTGTTGTGATATTAGAAAATGCTTTAGATAATTTAATTTTGTACAAATTTGCCAAATATACTATATACATTCCGTGAATATTTCAATTGTTAATTCAATTATTTAGTGAATAAATATAATAAACAAACGCAATGACGTCAACTTATTGTGCGATCAAATTAATTTACATAATCTTTCTAAATTTTTATAAATTCATATCCTTATTGTATATATTATTAAAAGCAAAATGAATATCACCCAAGTCGATTTTTTTATTTTTTAATTTTTTTATCTCCAAATATTTTTCACATGAGCGATTTATCATATCGGCGTCGGCGTCGCTCGATCGATTTACGATTTGCAATTTACAGGGAGGGACCAGGGACAAGGGGCTCTATTTCCATTTTCAGAGAGGGATGATGGATTTTTTGGCGGATTTATGCGTTGAAAACAAGTCGTTTTTCACGCCCGCAATCGCGCTATTTAGATTTTGAACTACGATCGGGAATTCGGGACAAACAATCTGAAAACTTTGCACTAGAATAGTAGTAAATGTGCATACTGTAAAGACGAAATTGCACTCGATTGTTTGACTTTAAGTGTTGAAGTTTGATAAAGTAGAAACATGTAAAATTGCTGGAGATTTGCAGGAAATAGTGTCATGTACAAAAAATATATTGTCGTTGAAAATGAAGGTTACATTGGACCCTATGTGTATACAAAAATACGTTGTTATAGTAAATTTTGTCAGTAAATAAATTATATCATTTAAACTAATCGCGGCATGTCAATAGTGTATTCGGCAAATTTATTCAAAATTAAATTAGCAATAATATTTTCTAACATCACAATACCCTACGACAACTCGTTATACTCATAAATGACTTTTGAAAATAAAGTTTACTTTGGACGCTGCGTCATATAGTAAAATAGATCGTTAAGGCGCATTTATTCAGTAATTAATTCATAACATTTAAACTATTCACCGTATATAAATAGTATATTTGGCAAATTTGTTCAAAATTAAATTAGCAGCAACATTTTCTAATACCACAAGACCCTACAACAACTCAGTATACTCATAAATAAATTTTTAAAAATAAAGATTACTCACTCCAAATCTCTTATCCCTCAGATTTTTCCTTATTTATGCCAATAACAGAAAAATAAGTTTTTCGTCTGATCTGAAAATACAACTTTTCCCTAAAAGTGCACGCAACCTGAAACAACGCGTTGTTTTAGGTTAAAATGCAAGCGCGCGGGAAATCTTGGGAAAATATTATGATGAGATATTTTTGAATTTAGCAATTAAAATTTAACTAGTGATAGATTGCTTTTAATTATGTAATTTGTATATAATAATTGTATTGCATTATTCTAATTGTTATATTTTGGTAAAAAAAAGTTTTTATATCGTTTTTCCCTAAAATTACGCGCAACCTGAAACGACGCCCTGTTTTAGGTTAACGTGCAAGCACGCGCAAAATCTCGGGAAAATATTATGATGAGATATTTTTGAATTTAGCAATTAAAATTTAACTAGTGATAATTTGCTGGAACTTCCCGTACCGCAATGAAATATTTGAAGATCATTATAAGTACTGAAACTTTCATTATTTTTGGTGTTTTGTTATATCGAATTTAATACTGGTAGCAATTTTTTTCTTTCTATTTATTTCTTAACAACCGTCATTTCATTTCTAATTCAATTTCAAAAAAATGGTATGTAAAAAGTGTATTTGGAAAATTTGTACAAAATTAAATTAGCAACAATATTTTCTAATATCATAACACTCTTAAAAATGATGGTTATTTTGGACACTGTGCCATGCACTAACATACCTAGTTAAGGTACATTTATTCAGTAATTAATTTATAACGTTTAAAATATTCACGCAATGTAAATAGTATATTTGGAAAATTTGTACAAAATTTGATAATCAATAACATTCTCTAATATCACAACACCCTACAACAATTCGGTATACCCATAAATAAATTTTCAAAAATATTACTTACTCCATATCTTTTATCCCTCAGATTTTTCCCTATATATGTCAATAGCAGAAAAATAAGTTTTTCGTCTGATCTAAAAATACAACTTTTGCTGAACTTTTGCGTATTGAATTTTATTTGTTCCGATGCAGCTATACGAAGAGCTATAGCTCTCTATACAGCTCGAAGTAGCTATATTTGTAGACAAAGAGCTGACATTTGTAAAAATATTTTATCATTTTATATCGAGTTTTATGAGTAGAATAAGTTGTTTTAGAGTTATATGATGTTAGGAAATGTTTTGAGATATGTAATGAGTTTTCTGAATACACTATTTATATCCAGTAAATAGATAAAAAGTTTACTGAAAAATACGTGTTCATCCGCGTAATTGAAATATGTCCGTACTGTTTTTGAATTTAAATAGAGTATAAGTATACCGAGTTGCTGTAGGGTTTTATGATGTTAGACAAAGTTCTAGTTTATTTAATTCTAAACTATTTTGCCAAAAAAACTATTGACTTTAACAAATAGTTTAAAAGTTATAAATAATTTAGTGAAAACATGTTCCCTTGCTAATCCATCCATCGCGCATACATAATGTTAAAATTTAATAATTAAATAGTGCCTTTATTTCTTATATCATTTGTAACTTTTTTGTTCAGGA